AACATGAACACATATTATAGTAAGGTTTCTTTAAATCCAAGTTACGTAAATTTTTAAGCATGGTCTTATCAACGTTACAATGTGTTTGGTGATCAACTCACATAATATATACAACTCACATAAGTTTAGTCATATTCAATTTTTATTAGTAAATAGTCTTTTTTTATATGCATTTAAAATTGTATATATCCAACAATTTGTTACAAGTGTTTAGTCTATAAACAATAAATTTCTGTAATATTAAAATACACAAGTAATCTGTGAAAAAAAAAATTAATAAAACACAAATAATCAATAAACTACAAGTTATTAAATATTTTGTCATGTTAAATTTAAATCCACGCATCGCGTGGGCAATGCCCTAGTTATATATATTTTTGAGTCTTTATTTTATGTCCTTATTCTAACAAACCGTGAACAAAATTCTTTACAAGTAAAATGAGAAAAATGCATCAATTATATAGTCTATAATTTTTGAAAAGATATAGCAGTACTCACCTCTTCCACGAGGCCGTGTCTCCAGCCAAGCATGTAACGTCCAGGCATCGTTCTTATCGGAATGTCTACCTCACCTGCGAGACTCGTATAAATAAAAAAGAAAAAGATTTGCTAATGCACAAAGACTATAAAGTCGTTTCTGATAACAGGGTTAATCCTGAATCAAAACTCAAGCTAACCTTCATGAATGAAGAGCGGGTAAATTAAATTTGCAGGAGAAATATTAGTTTCTTGAAAGGCAGCTCTCTGAGTAGGGGATTTGCGGTTACGACGTGCGCGTCGGCTTAGCACCTGAAAACACATAACTCACTTTCTATTGTATAGAACAAAAGAAGTTGAATACACTACTAACTAATCACATGTTCAACTTACAAGAGGCTGATCAATCACGTATTCGGCTGGTTTACTCGGGACTGGAGCATGTACCGACATTATCATTGTCGGGTCGATCCTTTGCACTTGACAAGCAACTTTTGTGCTTAGGAAAGGATTGATTCTCACTTTATACGACGCTGGTTTAAGGGCAACATTGCTCTTTTTCTCAAACCTTTTCATCGCCGGAATCTTGCAAGGAGATCTAAACATGGATGACATTATGTATATATGCTGTTAAATGTGGAAGAAAAAAACTCGTAAATGTAACCAAAATGTAAAAAAACTCAGAGAGCGAGAGTTTCATTTTATAGTCTTTTTTGTTTCTTTGTGAGAGAAATCTTTAAACGTTATATTAATCTCTCTTTTTTGGATCGCAAATCTCGATTACATTAACGTGCAGCCCATTTACATATAATATATCATATTCTGGTGATCGCAAATCTCAATCACCAGAACAATCCGCGACATCGTAATCTGCTTCATGCTGATTTGCTCGTACCGGTCGTTGACCCATTCCATATTTATTTTTAAATTTCC